ATGTGAAGAAGTTTAGAGCCTCTAAATCCTCTGCAGTTCAGCTGCTTCTCATTCAAACAGTAGGTCAGTGATTTGCCTTTGATCTCACAGCTGTTTAGGATGCAGTCATTAACGAGACACACACACACACACACACACACACACACACATTCTTGTACTTGTTGCTTTATGAGGTCTACCTTGCAGTTCAGCTGCTTGTACACACAGTTAATATGTGTCTGCTTCGCCACCTATCTCCACCCACAAACTTTGAGCTACAGAAACCATTCTGGGCTTCAAAAATTCAGCTCATTGAAGATATTATGGGGTGTTTTGAGGATTGTGATAATAAATTGTATTAATGTGTTTAGCAGAGTCTTGTGTTCTCACAAGCTCCTTATCAGGAATAGATACAGAGGATGAGCGTCAGGGCCTTCTTGGAGTCCTGTTTCCTTAGCTTCAAGCCTTCTTTCTCCTGCTATAGTTATGCATCCAAGGTCCCCATGGCAACCAATTAGTGCACCTGGAGACACACAGCTGACTGGAAAGCTGCTTCTAATGGCCATATGAGACACATGAAGCCAGGCTCAGCACACATAGCACTGGGGATGACACTTAAAACCCTTTACTAGAGTGCTTGAAAAAACTTCAGCCCCTATCTCCTCACATGACCTTTGACCTACAGAAACCATTCAGGGCTTTAAAATTTGAGCTCATTGAGGACATTATGGGGTGTATTTAGGATTTATATACATTTAGATTTTTCACATTTTAAAGTCACTCAGTGATGATGTATCATTTAATTTTTCAAACTAATTTGAACTGATTCAAACTGATTCAAACCTTTCTCATACTTAAAAAATTAAACTTATGCCACTTCTCACCTTCCTGCCTTTTAAGGCAATTTCCTTCTTCATTCAAACTTTGTGCAATTTTAGACATTTTTCTAGCCTCTTTCAGCATGAATAAAATTTCTTTTTATAGAGCATATTCATACTATTTGTCCTTCAACCAATTAATCAATTATCCAACTTACATTTCTTTCACACCCCTTAGACAGCTTTAACATTTATACATTTCTCCATGTTTTATTAGCAGTTTTGCATTGCTTTTTCAGCTTTCAGCACTCAGCATTTCCACGCATTTTCTGCAAGGAAATGCAATTTTTCTAGTTATTATTATTATTATTATTATTATTATTATTCTTCCGTCCCTTTTTTGGACCGCTTCTCCTCCTTCAAACTTTGTCCGATTTCAACCATTCAAACTTTAAACTATTCCACTCCTTCAGGACATTATTGCGTCTATTTTTCTTTTTTCTACCCTTTATACTTTTTGATTTTTTCAACATTTTGTGGAAAAATTTTAACATTGAAGTCAATGGGGAAATCTTCAACTTCTTCCTTTCATTCTTCCACCTTCTAGACCTTATAACTTCAGCATACTTTCACCTAGAGACCTCATTTTTGCTTTAAAATGTTCATTCACTTGTCGACTATTATAGTTGTACTCAGTTTTTTGATATCTTTTACAGTTTTTCCACAATTTAGCTTTAAGCAACTTGTGGTTTTCAGCAAATTTCAAGCTTTATAATGGGTGTGTATTGGAGAGTTTAGAGTGATGATGTCATCAGCTAGAGTGCAGACCTCGTCTCTGATCGACAGAACCTCGCTCGAATATATCGCTCCCACGCCCACAAATCTCACTCCACTGACACAAATAATACATCAAAATGGAGGTATATGTGTCCTGCTTCTCACAAAAGAGGTTTCAAATCATTAAATCGTACCCCTTGGCCAGCAGGTGACCAACTGTCCAAAAAAGGCGGAAATCTCTCCCATTGACCGTAATGTTATGTTTCTCCAAGAAAATCCGGATCATCGCTCAGGCTCAGACTTTTTTAACTCGCTGTTGTGGCCTCATTTTTCGAAGTACAGACATGAAAAACACATCATTGTGTTCATGAAGGACGGAGGATTCATACAATGTTCTTATTTTCATTCTGGGACTTAAGGAAATCGTGCTATGTGAAGAAGTTCAGAACCCTAAATTCACTGCAGTTCAGCAGCTTCTCCATTCAAACAATAGGTCAATAGGTCATGGCTTTGATGTCACAGCTGTTTAGGATGCAATCATTAACGAGACACACACACACACACACACACACACACACACACACACATTCTTGTACTTGTTGCTTTATGAGGTCTACCTTGCAGCTCAGCTTCTTGTACACACAGTTAATATGTGTCTGCTTCACCACCTATCTCCACCCACAAACTTTGAGCTACAGAAACCATTCTGGGCTTGAAAAATTCAGCTCATTGAAGATATTATGGGGTGTTTTTCAGGATTGTGATAATAAATTGTGTTAATGTGTTCAACAGAGTCTTGTGGTTCTCTCATTCTGCTTCATAACCTATCTTCTCTCACAAACTTTGAGATACAGAAACCATTCTGGGCTTGAAAAATTCAGCTCATTGAAGATATTATGGGGTGTTTTTCAGGATTGTGATAATAAATTGTGTTAATGTGTTCAACAGAGTCTTGTGGTTCTCTCATTCTGCTTCATCACCTATCTTCTCTCACAAACTTTGAGATACAGACACATTTAAGGCTTCAAGAATTCTGCTCATTGAGGACATTATGGAGTCTACAGAGGATTTCTATTCATTTAAATTGTCCTTAATTTAAAATCATTCTCATTATTTACGCATTATTCAATTCTTCTAACAAATTTAAACTCACTCTTATTCAAACCTCTCTGATTCTTCAAACCTTTCTAATACTTTAGGATTTTTTATTAGTTATATTTTCCCCATTTTAAATCATTTTTACTATTCATGCATATTTCAATTCTTCAAACAAAATCCCACTTCCACTTCTACAACTACTACTTAGATCACTTCTACTTCAACTAGTCTTGCTACTATTAGTACTAGAAAACAATTAAAGTGAATTGATTGAACCACTGCCTTTCCGTCGTGCGAAGTCTGACATTTCCGAGTGTCCCTGAACGCCTCAAACATTAATACCGCGACCCACCGGTGGCTCGCGCTATCCTTCTCCGACCTCGACGAAGGTGAGTCAGAGCACAGTCTCTCTAACTTCTGAACACTCCAAACGGTGATTTAACGTTTCAAATGGCACTGGTTTGAGTTATAATCAATGAAGAGTTCATTCATGATCGAAGTGGTCGAGATAATGAGTTGAAAAAGCATACGCTAACGCTTTTAGCGTCGAGTTAGCGCCGCTAGCGTCGAGCTAGCGCCGCTAGCGTCGAGCTAGCGCCGCTAGCGTCAAGCTAACGCTAAAGCTAACATGCCGTCAGCTGTGAGGCTGAATCATTAGCCAGCTGAGCACAAAGTAAAGTGAATATGTAAGCCGCTGCGGTTCTATAAAGCATGCCAAATGATGTACAGGCTGTGGAGTTTACTGACAGTGGGACTGACAAGAATACTCATATTGTCAAGTATTGACTGACTAACTAGCTAACTAATGACGCTAGCGCCATTGCTACAGGTTCAGTTCATTACTATGACTAAGTCATTGCTGGGGAATTGGTCCGGAGACGTCAGCTGTTTAGCTCCTGGTCACTTGTTATCAGCCATTGTAGATGTATTAAAATATAGGCTGCATTTAGCAAGCATCCAGGTATAGCACAAATATGAGTGGTTTTTCTTTTTTTATGTGTCAGAATGGACCTAGATGGTCCTCTATTATTGAAGGTTTTATTCATGATGGGGATGATAGAGATATTTACATTGCAAAACATAAAATGAATTCAGTATTCAATGTTTAACAATATGAAGTTCCAATTAATAAATATATTCCAGTTGAATTTCCCTTTAAGGATCAATAAAGTTCTTCTCTTAATATTGAGTTGATGGATGGAGAGTTAGCTGCCTTGAAGTTGGTGAACCTGCTCCTGGTCTGTCTCTGTCTTGCTGGCTGCTACTGAACTTCACCGTCTACTGTACCTAATTTACCTTTGATAACAAGCTGTTAATTTGGATATTTGTGATGTGCTAACACCACAGCAAATATACTTTATCTGAGTTATATATACTTTAATACAGTATGTATTATGTGTGACATTTTCAGCTGCAGCTAACAGCCAGGTGATCTGTTGGAGCTGTTTAGTTTTCAATTAGCCCAACTACTGTAATAATGTTAGTTTTCTCTATAGGCCTATTGTTTTTAATGTGCTATCTGTCAGAAAACACTAATGTATTGTTTCTTGTCTCAAACAGAAGATACATCCGCTCCAGTGCATTTGTTGGTAAGTATAAGTGTTTTGACCAAGACTGACAACAAACAAAATAAGAATAACTGGATTAATGATTAGCTTAATCCTGTTAAACAACATGTCATTCAAGATAATGTACAACATATGATGCATTTTTCAAATACTGAGTTTAAATTGATATGAAATGTTGATTTATCTGCAACACTGTTGTATATCCTATATGAAAATCATAGATGGGACACAGTTTTTTCCTAGTAGACAACAGTGAGCTAACAATGTTACTATACTACTAAATTCATTTATTTTAAACATTTTAACTTGATGGGAAAGTCTGAATCTTAATTTTGACAATAATTAAGTGGGAAAATCATTCAGATAATTACTATTACTTTGATAATAATCATTTCTTTGAATGAAGTGAGCTGTGAGGGCGTCTCTTTTGAGTGTAATAAAAATCTCTTTTCTTCCCTCTCCCCCTCCTCTTGCCTCATCTTGTCCTCTGACCTGTGTGAAATTCCCTACCAACTCTGAAGTGTAAGTTCACACTTGTATATACTTATGAAGCAATCAATTAAATGTTACATTTTTCTCTGCAGTTTATAATGACATTTCAGTGTTGCGTATTTCACCTCAATAACATAAGAAATTAAAAAGTAAAGAGGTCCTTCATTGTGTTTGTGCAATTCTCTCCATTTTAACAAACATTTTTACAGGCTAAGAGAGCAACTAAATTTTTTTTTTTTGTCCCTCTGTCTTTTCCCTCCTCTGAACTCCTCAACGCTATCTTTGCTGCGGGCCCTGTTCACTGTTGCCGATTCAGCTGTAAGTTCACAAATAAAGTAACGCTGACACTTTTTACAACACATCATGTAAAAACCTGACACTATGTCCTTATTTGACAAACTGCAGCACATTCTCATTGTAACACAAACCATTTAAAAAAACACTTTATTTAAACTAAAGCAGAACCAAATAGAAATAATTTTGCAGGCTGATTACAATTGAAACGACAATGCAGTGAGATGTGCTGGTTTTGTACAACTAAACTAAAAATCTCTTGTCTCTTTTTTTCCATTTTCCTTCTTGCCAACTCTATCCTGTCTCCTAGTGCAGACCGTTTTGTGGCGACTCGACGTAAGTTCACACAGGAATGACATTTTCATGAATAACGCAGGGTGCCTTTATTCAATACATTATGGACCCCTCATCATGTCCAAACTTAACTTTTTTTCCCCTTTGATAATGTAATATTCACAGTTGGAAATGAACAGGTTAAATGTGATATGCAATACACTTATTTGCATTTTATTTCCAATCATTGGAAAGCAATTTGTTACTATTAAATTGTGGAGTTGTAATTTTTTAATCATGAAAATCCAAAGAATTACTAATTGAGTGTGATTACCTCCTTTTGTGCAGCTCTTATATTAGAAAAAAAATCAAATTTAATGTTCCTTAATATGGAATAGACAATCATTATCTATGCCGCCATTGATTTATTTTATTATTCATTTAATCCTCCGTTTAGAAATGTGTATATCCTTCTAAGGTACTTTGCATGCTTCTGTTTACAGCTTACGGAGCTGCTTGGCCTCATTATAACTTATTACATTGTAGGAATACTTAAAACACGGTAAAGGAAATAACATTTTCCAAAACACATCATATTTTATCAGCAGAGTAATCCATTGTTATTACTGCTTACCAGGACATGGTTATAAACATTATAGAGGGAACTTAAAATAAAGAGTCTAAAATGCGCAGGGATAATAGAAACTTTTGTAAAATACTTTGAGGTCCTAAATTTAAAAAGGCTGGTTCTGTGGTTGGATTCAAGTTGGACTCGCTGGAGGATGTGGTAGAGAGATGTACTGTGAGGAAGGTGGAGGCTATTCTAAAGAATATGGCTCACCCACTTCACAACACCTTGGTGGACTGAAAGGCCTATGGTGGTGGACGGCTCCTCTCTCTGCTGCAGGACAGAAAGACTCATAAGATCTTTTGTACCCACAGCCATCAGACTCTACAATTTAAATAGTAGATGACTTTTTGCGACATGACAAGTGAGACTACAGACAATTGAATTTCCCTTAGGGGATAAATAAAGTTCTTTGTATCTTAAATACATTTTCAATTATCTCTTATGAACACTCTGTATTTTTAGTCATTAATTTGATTGAAGGGTTATCGAACAAGACAATGGTCACTTCCAGCTTTTGACTCAACTTGACTTTTGATAGATGTATAGTTGAGGACAGCCACTTGGTGGATTGAGTAAAAGTACATTATAATCTCACTAGCTTTGGGTGGATGTTGGATCATTTAATTTTGTCTTTTATAAAAAAAGATTAACGTTTTTTTCCATTGTGTCTTACAGGTATCCTGTCCAGTCTCCCCACTCTCCCCTATCATTTTGGTCCCTCTGACTTTCCTGTCTCCTCTACCACTCTTTCTGATTGAAAAGCCACTCTACAATCCTTGAACAAATCTTTGATACCATTGAAACAAATCTTTGATACCATTGAAACAAATCTTTGAGACCCTTTGCAATAAATCTTTGAGACCTTTTGCAACAAATCATTTGAGACCCTTTTGCAACAAATCATTTGAGACCCCTTTGCAACAAATCATTTGAGACCCCTTTGCAACAAATCATTTGAGACCCCCTTGCAATAAATCTTTTGAGACCCCTTTGCAATAAGTCTTATTGAGACCTATTTTAACAAACCACCTTTTTTGAGAAACCTTTGTAAACAATCAACCCTTTTTTTGAGAGACCGAACTTCTGAAAAGCTGTACATTTAATGCAACCACTGTATTGGAAAAAGCCCTAATACTGCAAAAGTCTCATTGTTGTTCTAGGTTTTCCTTTCCTGTCTGTGGATCCAGAGTTTCACCAGAAGAAGTGTCATCAGCACCACCACATCTGCATCCCTGGTCTTGAAAGAAAAAAAAACGTTTCATATAGAGTATTTCAGTTAGATATTATTTCAAGCACAAAGTTCTAAGATTTAAAAATTGTTGTTGATTTGTGTTTTTTCTTAAAACATTTATTTAGTCTTGCCTAGGATTTCCTTAGAAAACATTTGATAAACTATTGTTGGTATACACACAGTTATAAATTACATGTTTTGGAGACTATAAGAGCTGTTGAATAACGATCTCTCTTGAAGAAATAAAGCGCTTTTGCCTATACTGCTGCTTATCATTAACTTTAAATTGTTGTATAAACACATTGTTGTGAAAGAACAGCTAAAATGCCGAGGAAGAGTAAGAAGTCACAGGTTGCAAGCCAGCGCTGGCAGGGGTTACATGACATTGACCGTGTAAAAGCAGATGGTGTTCCTCAGAGCATTGGAGAGGTAAAGAAGTCTGAAGTATGTGATGCTGAGAAACAGAGAGGTGAAAGTGCGTCATGTCAACCACAGGTATCTTATACAGACATGCCAAAGAGGAGATGTGTAAGTGAGTCACCTGCAGCAGGTCCGTCTAACACTAAACAGGTAAACCGCAGAGGTGAAACCAATGATCCAGGTGTACAACAGGTAACATATGCAGACATGGTAAAGAGAAAACTTGCTAGTGTGTCACGTACTGCCGGTCCATCCAACTCTGGTCAGATAAACTACGTAGCCCAAACTGACAAGCCATGTTCAACCCAGGTATCATATCCAGACACTGTTAAGAAGGGAAACCACAGTAATTATCAGTCTGTATCAGGCTCTTCTCGGGTAAGAAATGTTAACTCTGTTAATCAGTCAGGTGAAAAAAACGTCTGTGCGTCACGCAGCCAAGCGTCTCTGAAATACGGCCGATCCAGAAACCAGCAGTGCACCTGCAACTCACTGACATTTCTAGCATTCCTGTATGAGAGCGAACACATCACCAGAGCAGATCTGGACCGTGTTTTGGATAAAGGTGATGCGATGTACAGAGAAATCAGAAAAACTGTTGATCACGCCCATCTGACAACCGATGAGCTACCTGACCAGGTTCCCGCCCGCAGACACGTGCAGACTGTTGACAAGTTACAGCTGTCTAGATACGGTACGTTTGGAGATCCGCATCCCGGAGCTGTTGATACCTTTCTGGACCTCGAGATGGGACTGAGCTGCTTATTAACAGATGTGCAGTATGCTTTGCTGCTAATGACTTCGTTGTGCATTGCAGTTTTCAGAACCAGAGATGGCAGGTACGGTTTCTTTGACCCACATGCTCGGACAGCTAATGGTTTGCCTCTGCTTAAGGCCACACCTACTCCTGGAACCGCTGTCATGGTAACATTCACACGACTCAGTGACATGATTCAACGGCTCATCAGGTATCACCATATATTGGGCACAGTAGGGTCCTGTACCTATGAGCTCAAGCCAGTTGTGTTTTGTGATGTGAACCCAAGTGATGCTATCCCAGCCACAGAAAGTCCGTCCACAAGTCCCTCTGTCACAACCACTGTGATAAATGATGACACAAGTGCCCCACAGATGAACACTGATGTCCATGAAAACACTGAATGTGACATGGAAACTGAACCAGAACCACTGATCGACTTCAGCCAGTGTTCTGTCACATTAACTGGTCCTGAAATTCTCACTCCAGAGATGAACACTACTGTAGGTGATGACACATCACAGAAAGCCTCAACTTTGATGGAAAATCAAGCTCATCAATCAGGTCAAATCAACAATAATTCTGTCACATTAGAGGAAACTCAACAGACACAATCAGATTTGACACAACCATTGATAACGATCCCCGTTGCTAGTGACAAAGTTATCCATGACATCTCCACTGAACTGTCCAAATTAAGCAAACAGCAAAAAAAGAAATTTAAGAGGAGACTAATGAGATCTGGAAAGACATCTGAAAAGAAAGAGAATCAAAAAAGGAGAGAGAGAGAAAAGTATGCTAAGAATGAAACATACAAAGCAAAGAAAAAGTCTTATTCAAGTGAGAAATACTCTGTCAATCCTGAAATACAAACAAAGAAAAGACAAAAGATCACAACTAAATACAGAGAAAGCACAGACTTCAGACTAAAACAAAAACAATATATCACTAACAAATACAAAGACAATGTTGAATATAAAGGTAGACAAAAAGAATATATCACAAAAAAATACAGAGAAAATGTTGATTTTAAAGGCAAACAAAAAGAATATATCACAAAAAAATACAGAGAAAATGTTGATTTTAAAGGCAAACAAAAAGAATATATCACAAAAAAATACAGAGAAAATGTTGATTTTAAAGGCAAACAAAAAGAATATATCACAAAAAAATACAGAGAAAATGTTGATTTTAAAGGCAAACAAAAAGAATATATCACAAAAAAATACAGAGAAAATGTTGATTTTAAAGGCAAACAAAAAGAATATATCACAAAAAAATACAGAGAAAATGTTGATTTTAAAAGCAAACAAAAAGAATATATCACAAAAAAATACAGAGAAAATGTTGATTTTAAAAGCAAACAAAAAGAGTATATCAGGAACAAATACTCAGAGGATGTTAATTTCAGGCAAAGACAGCAATCCTTCATCCATCATCGATATGCAAATGATGAAATATTCCGTTATCGACACAGACAGCTGATGAGACAAATGATGCGAGACAGGTACAAGACAAAGCTTACAGACAGGATGATGCATAAAATTAAATGTGCATTGAAAATATCAAAGAAATACAAACGGATGAGTAAACAAACACATGAGACTGACAGAGAGAGTGAAAACCCTCTTATTGAAAGTGCCATAAATATTTTCCGATCACACATTAAAGCTGGTCCCACCTATGTTTGCACGGTTTGTCACAAAGCCTCATTTCCAAACCAAGTAAAAAAGTGCAAGAGGTCCAACTATGTGAAAAATCCAATCATGGTTTCAGCTTGTCTCAAAGGTCAGTACGTCCATGAGTGTAATGATAACTGCAGAAATCAGTGCACTGTCCCTGATGAGAGGAAGACTGAGTGGATTTGTCACACCTGCCATGACCATCTGAAAAATGGATCCATGCCCAAACTTGCCATAGCAAACAACTTGGAGCTTGCTGACATACCACCTGAGCTGTGTGACCTCAACATACTGGAGAGACATCTGATAGCAAAGTGCATAACATTTGCTAAAATCATTCCTCTTCCCAAAGGCAGACAGAGAGCTATACATGGTAATGTTGTATGTGTTCCCTCTGAAGTCCAGGAGACAATTCAGGCTCTACCCAGATTGAGAAATGAGTCTCAGGTGATGAGAGTAAAACTGAAGAGACGCTTGAGTTACAGAGGTCACCATCTGTTTCAGACTGTTACCTGGTCCAAGCTAGTGCAGGCTCTGCATAAACTGAAAGAGATACACCCCCAGTATGAAGACATCACTATTAGAGATGAGGAGGAGTTATGTGACCCCACACTTCCTGATGATGAGGATGAGGATGATGATGATGATGATAACACAATGAATGATGACGACTATGACGATGAGGATTTGATGGAAATTGATAGAATTGAGGCTGCTGCCATGTATGAGGCTGAAACTAACACTGAAACTGAGGATGAAAACACAGAGCTGTGTGATAAAAGTCAGACCCAGGACAATGATGATCAGACACAACAACAGGATGCAGACATATCTAATGGTGGTGTTGTTTTGGAGTCGTGCCTTCAGCCACGGGATGTTTCTGAGGAGATATTGTGTTTCAGTGACTCTACATACTCAGTAGCTCCAGCAGAGAGAAACAATCCAGTCAGTTTTTTCAAAACACCCAAACTAGAGGCCATGGCGTTTCCTGTTCAGTTTCCCACTGGTGAGAATACACTGGATGAAAACAGACCCATGAAACTATCACCCAGTAGTTATTTTAAAGCAAGGCTCTTTGGTGTTGATGATCGCTTTGCCAAAGATACCAACTACCTGTTCTTTGCACAGTTTGTGACTGAAATACACTTGGCTACCTCCAGCATGTCAATACAGTTACGCAAAGGCAAACCTTTGACCAGAGACGGACGTAAAATAACATCCAGAATGTTGAGAGACAAATATGAAGTGGAGAGACTGGTGAGAAACAGAGATGCTATCAGATTTATGCAGCCGCTCAGAGGAACACCAGCCTACTGGGACAAAACTACAAAAGATCTGTTTGCTATGATCAGACAGTTGGGCAGTCCTACTTTCTTTGTCACATTTTCTGCAGCAGAAATGCGTTGGCCTGAGGTGATTATTGCAATAAAATTACAACAAGGTGAGGAGGTGAATTTTGAAGAGCTCGACTGGTCCACAAAGTGTGACATTCTGAGAAGCAATCCTGTGACAACGATGCGCATGTTTGACAAGCGTGTTGAAGCACTGTACAGAGATCTGATCATGTCTCCTGCACAACCCCTGGGCAAAGTTTTTGACTTCTTTTGGCGTCTCGAGTTTCAGCACAGAGGAAGTCCTCATATACATGGTCTTTTGTGGGTAGAAGGTGCACCTGTGTTTGAGAGAGACTCTGATAAAACTGTGTGTGACTTTGTGTCCAAACACATCTCTGCTCAGCTCCCTGACCCAAACAAACAGCCTGAACTGTACAAAAAGGTCAAAGAAGTGCAAATACACAGTAAGAACCACTCCAAAGACATGTTTCAAAAGTGCAAGTTCTGGATGCCGATTTGGATTCCCAAAACCACCCTCCAGACAGACAATGATAACAAGACCTGTGGGTGATGATGAGGAGTCAGAGAGACTTAAGAGAGCCAAAGAGAAACTTGCACCACTGAATCAGCTGCTGAATGAGACACAAACTGAATCCATGAGTTTTCAACAGCTCCTGTCTGTCTGTGACTTAACCGCTGATGAGTACGAGAAACACATGAATGTGATGAGTCAGTCCAGCAACATCATTCTGAAGCGTGAGCCAAAAGACTGCTGGGTAAACACCTACAACCCTCACCTGCTCAAAGCTTGGGATGCAAACATTGATGTGCAGTTCATTCTCAGCTACTACAGTCTGATCCATTACATATGTACGTACATGTGTAAAAGTGAGAACTCTGTGAGCCAGTACCTGCAAACACTCATTCAGAACTCCGACAGAGAATGTGTCAATGAATGTGATGAAATGAAAGCGGTCATGCAGGCGTATTCAAAAAAGCGAGAAGTATCAGCACAAGAAGCTGTTGCCCGAGTGACTTCACTGAACATGAAAAAGAGTTCACGCAGTGTGGTTTTTGTCCCAACTGATGACAACCCAGTGAAAATGAGTCTGCCTGTGTCAAGCCTTGACAACACAACACCAGACAGCTTGAATGTGTGGATGACATCCTTAACAGACAAGTACAAATCCAGACCTGAATCACCAGAGTTTGAAGAGATGTGCATGGCTGATTTTGCTTCTACCTGCAGACTGGTGTATGGACAACAGACCAAGGGCAAGAAAGTGGTACCTTTGCTGAATGAACTAGGCTTCATACAGAGACGAGAAAGTGACAACGCTGCTGTCATCAGGTATCGCCGCATATCCAAAGAGAAATACCCTGAGCAGTTTTACGGCACATTGCTTAGACTGTATCTTCCATACAGATCAGACGATGAGCTGAAAAGACCATATTTTCCCACATATGAGTCATTCTATGAGAGAGGTGTGGTTCAGCTGCCGTATTCTGACCGACCCCTGAGTGTGAAACTCATCGTGAAAAGAAACAGAGAGAGATATGAAAAAAACAGTGAGGAAATTGACTCTGCTCTCGAGGACTTTGAACAGAACAGAGGTGTGGTCGATGAATGGTGTAATTTGGCACCTGAATCTGAACTGGTGAGGTTGGAGTGTATCGATGAACTGGACGCCAGACAGTGTGAAAATGTCCAAGAGGATGTACCAGATTACAGCAGACAAGCAAATGCTGCTACAGAGGCCAGAGTCATGAGAGAGCCCCCTACAATCGATCCCACACAGTTACGACAAATGTATCAGAGTCTGAACCAGAAACAGGCGTGTGTGTTCTATGCAGTGAGAGACTGGTGCATAAAACGAGTCTGTGGACCACAACCAGAGCAGTTTTTCTACTACATCAATGGTGGTGCTGGCACTGGAAAGTCACATCTCATTAAATGCATTCATTCAGAAGCATCAAAGATTCTGAGAACACTACCTAGACGTGCAGAGGAAGCTGACATCTCAAACCCAACTGTGCTGTTGACTGCTTTCACCGGAACTGCAGCCTTTAACATCTCTGGAACAACACTGCACTCTCTCCTCAAGCTGCCCAGAAGTTTGAAACCTCCTTTTCAAGGTCTTGGGAACCAACTTGATGAAATCAGGTGTGAGCTTTTAAACGCTGAAATCATCATCATTGATGAAATCTCCATGGTGTCGAAGCCTCTGTTTGCCTATGTGGATGTGAGACTGAAACAGATTAAAGGCAGCCACAGACCCTTTGGAGGAATGTCAGTCATTGCTGTGGGAGACTTTTACCAGCTACCGCCTGTGCGACAGTCCAAACCACTCTGTGTCTATGATCCAAGTGAGCTTGACCTCTGGAGAGACAACTTCCAGGTGATCACTTTAGATGAGATCATGCGACAGAAAGATGACAAAACTTTTGCCGAGATGCTGAACAGACTCCGTGTGAAAACAAGGTCAGATGAGATTTCTGAAGCTGACAGAGCTCTGCTGTCACAGCGTGTCACTGAACCACAACGGTGTCCCTCTGATGTCCTGCACATTTTTGCTACAAACAAACAAGTCGCAGCACACAACTCTGCCACACTATCTCTGCTCCATTCTGATATCACCACCATTGATGCAGACGACTTTAAAAAGGACCCACACACTGGACACATGAAAAGACAAGGTGCACCATGTCATGGAAGCAGAAATGATCTACCTGACACACTAGATGTTGCATTAGGTGCTAGAGTCATGCTTACCAGAAACATTGATGTGTCTCAAGGATTGGTGAACGGATCATTTGCTACAGTAGGCCGTATCATAAGCTCTGAAAACAACGGTTCTGCTCTTGTCACTATGCTTGGTCTCAGGATGGATGATGAAACAGCTGGCAGGAGCTATCGTACTCGAGGAGACAATCTTGTGTACATCGAGAGATCTGAGGAGGCTCTGCAACAGAAAGGAGTGGTACGCAGACAGTTTCCTGTGAAACTTGCCTTTGCATGCACGATACACAAGGTTCAAGGTATGACCAGAAAATCTGCTGTTGTCTCTCTGAAGCACATTTTTGAGCCCGGCATGGCCTACGTAGCTATCAGTCGAGTGACCTCTCTCAGCGGACTGTACATGCTTGATTTGGATGAGAGTAAAATCCATGCTAACCCTGCAGTCACTGTATCTTTGGAGACCATGACGCAAGCTAACTTTGATCACCTCATGCCTTTTCTCCAGATCCAGCATTCTCTCAGCAGACAGGACACTGTGAGCATCATTCATCACAACACCGAAGGATTACCTGCTCATGTGAATGACATCAAAAGCCATCATGAACTGTGTCTTGCAGATGTTTTGTGTCTGACAGAAACTCACCTACAGGGCTCCTTTGTGGCAGACAGTCTCCAGTTTGAGGGCTACACCATGTTCAAACGCAACAGACATTTGTCCTACACTAACTTTCCACAGATGGCCAGTAAAGGAGGTGGTGGAGTCGCTGTTTATGTGAAAAACCATTTGCAGGTTGTGGAGAAACAGTACCTGAATAATGTGACTGACCTCGAGTTTGTGGCTTTGAAGGTTGAATCTCCTGTAAGTGCTCTGATTGCAGCTGTGTACAGACCTCCAGACTACAGTGTGCCATCATTCCTGTCCAATCTGGGAAGCCTTCTGGACTCACTTGAGATCATGGACTGTCATCCCATCATCGTCTGTGGCGACTTCAATGAGAATCTCTTTTCAAATGCAAGTAAGCCAATTTTGGATTTCTTTCAGTCCAAGGGATATGGTCAACTGATCACTGCTGCTACAACGGACAAGAACACACTGCTGGACCTGATCTTCATCTCACGACCTCAGCTATGTCTCTCCTCAGGTATCATGCAGACGTACTACAGTTACCACAACGCCACTTACTGTGTCATTTCATCCAACAGGTCATAGAGGAAACTGCTCTGAAGGAAAAGACAAACCAGAGAAGTTGTGGCTAATGTTCAGCTCATATTTTTATTAGAAATTGAAATGTGTTTGGTGTATGTAAAATTTTCTGGTGCAAAAAATATTTTTATGGCTTAATTTCAACATTTTCAGGTAGTACAATTTTTAACTATTCAAATGTAATAAATCTTATTTTTTGGCCTGTGCATTTATCAAGTCCAGTCAAGTCAAGTTAATCCATTTAACTTGACTTGACTGGACATAGGGAGGGTGGGTGCGGATTGATAAATGCACAGGCCAAAACTCTCAGCTGCTGTGTACAATACTGTATACAGCAGCTAAAATTAAAAACCTCCATCAGAAAGTGTGTGTTCCCTAATGAACACACACTTTCTGATGTTCTGTGACCTACCAGCTGAAACCCCCAAACCACCCAACTTAACCCTACTGTCTTAGTGTGGGTGGCTTTAAGTACATTACAGCAAACCTAAGTTTCCTTTTCTTTGGTTTTTTTTTTTATTTCCAGTTGTATCCTCCGTCTTTGACCTGATCTCAAAAATACTGTCCTAACTACCTCTCTGCAAGCTGAAAAAATTGTCAAATTGTCAGCCAAAAGTGAACAAATCTCCTGTAAGTACAGTAGAGCAAACCTAAGTTTCCTTTTGTTTGGGTATGTTTTGGTTTTTTTATTTATTTATTTATTTTCAGTCGTATCCTCCATCTTTGACCTGACCTTTATCACTACATGAGTATTGTCCTGACTACCTCACTGTAAGCTGAAAAAATTCTCAAACAATTCTCAAAATTGTCAATCAAAAGTAAACACATCACCTGTAGTGATGTGTTTAACCTAACCTAAGTTTCATTTGTTTGGGTATGTTTTGTTTATTTATTTATTTTTGTTTTTTCTGTTGTATCTGTCATCTTTGGCCTTACCTCCATTAGTACTGTCCCAACTAGCTTACTGTAAGCTGAAAAAATTTTTAAACTGTCAACCAAAAGTAAACATGTCACATTTAGGTACACAAGAGCAAACCCAACTTTCCTTTTGTTTGGGTATGTTTTTGTTTGTTCGTTTGTTTGTTTGCTTTTTTCCCCAGTTGTCTCTGCAATCTTTGACCTGACCTCCATTAGTGCTGTCCTGACTACCTCACTGCAAGCTGAAAAAATTGTCAAACTGTCAACCAAAAGTAAACACAGCACTTTGGACAACTCAAAGACTCAGTCTACCTGCTGCTAAACCCAGTACTTTGTCAGAGGTGATGAAGAGATGGCATCCTCCACACCGTCTCTCTGATGCTCTCAACAACCATCACACACTGTGCTGGAGCTGAACACAGACTGCAGCACCCACCAGAACCCTTCTCTCATGGACTACACAGATGTGTGTTTTACCTGCTAGTGCTCCAGATGTCCTGGAGCAGCTCTCAATGACCACCAGACACCAGGCTGGGGCAGAACTGATGCTGTCGCACTCACTGGGCTCTTTTCTGCTGAACCTCCCAGAGATAAGCCCCTCCTCAACAAAGTCTGAGGTAATGTCTTAGTGAACTTGTGTTCATTTCTTTACTCTTAGTAATCTTAGCTGCTGTATTATTGCTTGTGACTTCATTGTACAGCTCTGCTGATATCATTGTCTTTAACAGCAGTGTTTTATCTCAGCTCTTCTTCAAGCCAGTTAAGAGAGGAAGAACAGCTCAGACACTCGGGCAGATGAACACAAGCAGCCACCCTAAGGCTTGAGGCTCTGTGTGTGAGGAAACTTTGCTGCATGCAGACCTGGTGAAGTGGCCCTGAGCAGAAATATTTAGCTCTGCTGCAGTGCTGAAGGTATTCGTTGTAATGATGTGTGTATTTATTCAACATGTTTAGTTTAATAGATTATCAACACAAATGTTTCTTTTTATTTCCTGTTTTGAACCAGCTACATTCTACTACTTCAAATCAATGTCGGTTCATCCATGATGTAGCCAGTGCAGCTCAGCAGAGTCCCACTGATGGTGATCCTACCAGTCCTGCAGTCCTGTGTAAGCTGCAGCAAATGTCATCACATTCAGATGGTCAGTTCATCTTCACTGCAGCTTTAAACTTTCCCTGAGGTAACTGTGTATTTCCTTGCCCCATAACAACAATCTTGTTTGACCAACAAACAAAAGCACAGTATTTCTGTTAGCACGGGATTTTTGTATTGATTGCAGAGTTAAAGTGAAGGGGATTTTGTTTGTTTTTTTCCACTGATGCTGTCAATTAGAACCTTGAGAACTGCACCACAGGTGAAAGGTCAAAATATAACCTCACTTTAAACCTTCACTCTGAACTGTACAGGGCTCTGCTTTTGGTTCTGGCCAAAAGTGCCCAACCAGAACACAGTACTCACTTGAGGAACTGACTGATTGTCTTCAGGACAGGACAACTTTTACTCTTATAGTGTTTGAATCCTGTTTTCTACATTGTGTGATCAGTTGTATCTGTTAATATTTCAAGTTTCCTTTGTGTTTCTTTGACTTAATTTTTTTTAAATTTCATTTTAGTGTCATCTTTTCCCTTTACTGCGTATCTGTCATCATATCAAAAGATGACCAACACAGATCATGAATACTTAACTTAGTTGTTGCAGGCACCTGAATTTCTCATGTTTTAATATGCTCGTCATATCCCTCCAAGAGAGGACATGTTTTTAGAAGTAAATGATGTACTTTGGGTTTCAGCTGGAAGGTACACTGACGGTTTTTCACATGTGCTTAGTCTTGGGCTAATGTTTTGGACAGCAGTGATCTAAGCATTACAGGGTCAAACAATCCCTGCTGAAGGTTAGTCTTCACAATGCTCAAAACACAGGGCTCGGTTAAACGAGCTGTGTTAAGGGATTTTATAGGCGATCGAAGTTTTTATGCCTATTCTTAAAATGTAATTCTCCAAAGTAGACGATTCATTGAGCAGAAACTATCCACATGAAGACAACCCAGCATTTCAGTAAGTCCGAGTAGTCTGAATGTCTGGAAAAGAAAACACTGGAAACTAGAATGCTGACCAGATTGCCAGTCCACTACAATGAGCTGATGACAGTATTAGCCTTGGTCTAACCACTGTGAAAAGTCTTTTGGTGGTAAGGTTGACCAATACATTACATAAATGTATTTCACGTTGTCAGACTAGTCCTCAATCTTATCATTTTAGAATTTTTTTTTTTGACTCATTATCGCACCAATATTAAAGGTTTTTCACATGTGCAAACCTAGCCTTAGGGTCATCTAAACCCTTAAAAATATGTGTAAGAGCCCTGTGTCAGACTCTGAAATCAAATACAAGGTCTGTCTTCAAAGCCCACGACACAGGACTTGGCTTAAGGAGCCATGACAAATTTTATGAGCGAACTTTTACAAGGTTTAGTAATCTGAAAACACAAGAAAAGAGGTGAATGTGGGTCCAGGGCTGCTGGAGTTTGAATCCAGTAAGTAACGGGGTGTTTGCCTCAGTCTAACTTCCATGTGAAGAGCCTTTAATGATTGGGCTGAACAATATTGAACAAGATTGAAAGAAAAAATGGTCACCCGTGCACAGATTTTCTTGTTTGCTCTAGATTTTTTTAATTGGTATTGTTATCGGACAACAAAATGCCTAACCAGTGCACGTGGGGGAGACATACTTTATGCGTGGCCACAGCCTGATGGGCAAGTCCCATTCTTTTACGATTAATGTTGGGAGCGGGACACAGTGCTTCAGGGGCAGCAATGTTGACTGCCCCGCAGAACTCCAGGCAAGAGCAGAGACCCTGCTGTATCCGGCGTCACCACTGGTAGTACTCTGTCATTGCTGGGAGCAGCCATTGATCTGGGAAACTAAAAACATCACAAATAACAAGAAAAAAAAATATTTTTATTTATATTAATTACCAAATGCAGAATTTCCTCCTGTTTGGCTGTCTGCTGCGAGAAAAGTGGTGTCAGGGAAAGAGGCTGTGCCTCTCAGGAAGCTTGGTAACTGCAGCTGCGAAACATTGTTGGTACCTTTCTGTTTAAGAAAGAAAACGCCATATAAGTCACTGAAGGAACCTGAAAATGACAAAAGTAATACTAAATAAAAATGTCTGTGTATGTATATATGCTTCATAACATTTACGCAATAAATAAATCATGATGACATATTACTTGAATTGATGCCGATGTGTCATTTTGCCTGTTTCTCACTTTACACAAATGAGCCTGTCACTTTGAATTCATGTGATTAGTTTACACTCAATAGCCCTCTCTTTTCCAGAGATCATTTTCCAGGACATTTCCAAGACATTTTCTGTGGAGTTCAAGCTAGGATGACAGTCTAAATTTAGTTCCTCAATAGTCTAATACATCCCTCTCAGTAGAAGTCTACAGTGATCATAGAATAATGCATCCACAGATGAACAGCACCTCACTTAATTAGTGCAACCAAGTCTGATCTGATACAAGTTTATTAACACTGTTGTGAATTGGCCTTTATCACATGAAATAGTTGCATCTCACTCTCACTTTTGCTGGGCTCAAAGCGGAACACAGACTTGGAAGTGCGATCGCAACTCAGTTAGCAAGAAAGACAGACAGACAAGAGCGATTGAGTGCAAGCTAAAATGTCATCAAAAACATTACCGTAAACTCAGAGGTTTAAAAAACAGTAAACTGTCTTCTTGCGTGTCGATGTCTATTGTGATCAGAGATTTCTACAATGTGCAGTTTCTGTGCAGCTGTGTCTGCCTAGAATAGAATAATAATAGTTTTAGTAACAGCCTATCTTTTAAGGTTGAATGTAGCCTATTAAGGTAAATACAGATTACTGCAAGCCTCGTAACATAGAAATAACTTGTTGGTTCAAAATAATATAATGAGCTAAGATAGCTTAATGCCTAGATTAGTACGGCCAAACCACTTTGTGTAGTTAAAATAAAATGTGGACAGCTTTTAAGATATTTCAGTAAAATTACAGGAACAGTTCAACTTCAAAGTCTGAGCTTTAAAATGCCCTAAACAGTGAACCTGACTCTTGACTCTGACCTTTCATCTTCATCTTCCTCTTGCTCCTTGCTGCTGGTGGATGCTTTAATCCAGGAAAGGGCTTATTCCCCTGGGCTGCCTGCTGTAGCTCCCTTTCTTTTTTCCTTCTTATCCTCTCCTTTCTAGGCATTATGCTGCAATTGGTAAATAAAAAGAGACCAACAATATAAATAAGACTGTGAACTAAGACTGTAACTAAATATTCATTTTACGTAAGTATACTGATAGATTCACATGCCGTAAGATACCAATGAGAAACTCTACCGGTGGTCATCATCACGTCATATCTATCATTGATTCGGGGTCGCGTCTAGCTTGTTTAGCAGGTGAGCAGCTGGCTAATTTATGCCCAGCTGTGTGGCGTTGAGGCAGGCTACTTCACAACAGAGACAAATCAATGCAAGTTACAGCTCGGCAATTGAGGCTTAGGGGGCAAACGACACACTCAACTCGATTTATTTATGTGATACCTGGCTGGTGGGCAGAGGTAGCCTGGCTGGGCCATCCTGTGGCGTCAGTCACTTGACGTTCCTTCCCACCACAGTCTGGACTTCGGCCCGTTGGGAGCGTGTATTCCCGATCAGACAATAACTGGGCAAATCAGATACCGTGGAGTTCGAGCTACGATGACAGGATGGCCCGGCCAGGCTAGCAGCTGTGCATAGAGATAGCCTACTTCAAGCTCGATAATTTTGTGTCACAAATTTCGTTTTTATTTTGTTTGAAATAAGTTCACAGGTATTATTTGGTCGTTGTGTCAGGGAGAGCAGGTTTGTATTATTATAACAGTAGGCTATGGCTATCGGCTATGGCTATCGGCTATGGCTAACACGAACGAGATAACGGCCCTGACTGTCCCCGATATCTGGGGACAGTCAGGGCCGTTTTGGCTGTCCTGTCTCCGGCTAAGGCTGTCCCCGGAAATGTCCCCGATTTAAGCATTTTATGAACAACAGAAAAAGTGTTTCGTATAGACTACAACAACGGTTATTACGGTGGGTGGGTAGCAGAGCAGTGGAACGGAGTGGCGACAACTTCAGATCTCGCCGCCGGAGCGGTCACGTAGTTCATGTACAACTCAATAGTTGCAAACGCAGCCTGCACTGTCCATGTTCTTCAACGGGACAGACTGCAGTGAGCACGCATTTCAGAGGTAAATATTAAAGTTAACCGTAAAAAGTCAACATCTGCAACTCTGATTGGATTACTGTGTACACGTAAAAGTCACATATGTGTATTTAGTGGCTGGATGACAAATAAAAGTGAATTAAGACAAGTTTGATAACAGGTGTTACTTTGTAATAAGAGAAAATAATACAATAAAGTGGTACGTAACGTGTTAAAAGCTGTTCAAACAATTGTGCAATTTTTTGGTCTTGCAGCATAGCCTGCATGACATTTTTCCATGTTAAACATGTGCATTAAATGCTGACAGAATTTAAAAAGTAGCGGTCCCTTTACTCTATCGTCCCATAAGCAGAAATCAAATTACATAGCACTTATGTTAGTCTAAAAAGAATAAATTGCACATGACATTGGGTACCGATAAAGGCTGAAATCGAAAATCAAGCCTATAAGTAACCATCTCAACATTTGATTGATGATGATGATTTATCTGTGATTCATAATTCAGTCACACAATATATTTGCCAGGCCTCTACAGCTGATGACGTCCAACTAGCAGGCCGTGGCTTAAAAAATCTATCCCAATTCCTGACTAAAAAAACTTAATTACATTTGGGACATACATTTTTACATATAAAGGAGTCCCCGCGATAACAATAACACACAGATTGGCATTTAACTTGTTGATATTTTACCATTTTACCTCGGTGAGTGCTTGCCTTGTGGCCATAGAAGCGAACGGCATCCGACATGACAGGCGGTCATGTTGGAACTATTGAGAGTTCCATAACCCGGAATAAATGTATTAAACTTCAATATAAATATCTGTCTCCTTTCTCCGTTCTGTGAGCTATATGCGTAAATGTACATATACATACATGTAAATAAATAAATACCGCTCGGGAAACAGTGGCTTACAGAAGTGTTTCTCTCACTTTTAAGTTTTTGCTTCAGTAACCCCTTTTCAGATTTTTGGATGAAAGCCCCCTATAACAGAGTACCACCTGTTGCTTAGAAATTGATGTCATTGATGTCATGCAGAAATCTTCTGTCTTCATATTTTACCTTTTTTTTTGTTAGATGTGTGGACTTGTCTACCACATACTTTAAATGAATAACCCACCTCAGGGACAATATCACAAATGAAAACAGATGAAACAACTGTTGTGCAGGACCTTTTTTTTTTTTTTCTCTCTCTCTCAAAGAAAAGCTGCAATTTCAACATGTCCAAGTGTTCCAGCTCATAGCCACGTTATTAAGGTTTTATTGAACAAAATCGTTTGTAAATCTGTCAAGATTTCAGCGAGTTAAGAGTATTTTTGATTCCACAGATCGCCCCATGTGGCGGCCATCTTACCCAAGTATACCATTCTGACAGCTACTACAGAGTGATCGTATTGAATACTGTAGTAAGATGACCGCCTTGTAGGGACACCAGGGATTTCGCCTCGAGTCATCTAGCCTTTCTTACAGACATCTATGGTAGTGATGAACACCTCCCACCACCAGCCCTCTTTGAAAAGATTACGCACCGTTGTAAAGATAGTTGCTCTCCAGGAATACAGGGCAGAAAATCAAATTTTGCTCAGCAACTTCTCCTTTAATGGTTTTATTTTTATCATTATTTTTGTATTGTTGCACATTAATACTGAACTTACAGAAACTGATAGATTGATAGATAGAAAGATAGATAGATAGATAGGAAAGGAAGGGGGAGAGAGGGATGGAGAGAAGACGAGGGAGGGGGGAGTGAGAGAAGAGCGAGGAGGAGGAGAGACAGAGAGGGGGGAGGGGGAGTGAGGGGGACAGATGGACAAATAAAATGACAGAAAAATACTTTACATGTTTATGCTTTTCATTGCAGAATGGCACTGAGGACACTTTTAGAGACCCGGCCAGCCTCCCCATACACCAGGCTACCACCACTCCACGTGGTGTTCCTGAAAATTGAGGATACCCCGAAAGTGGTGTCTTGGTCCTTTGAGGGGCCATCAGCAAGCCCGACCTGCATCAAGCAGAACAAGACGGCCATAATAAGCGATGGGCAGAGCATAACAAAGATAACTCTTTTCGAGGCTGTGGCGGGAAAAGTGGTAGAGGGGGGGGCTTATTACATGCGGGGCCACACCCTGATGGGAAAGTCCCCACCTTTTTCCATCAATGTTGGGAGCGGGACCCAGTTCTACCAGGGCAGTAAAATTGCCTGCCCCCCAGAGCTCATGTTAAGAGCAGAAGCCCTGCTGCACCCAGCCTCACCACCAGTCGCACTCCATCAGTGCCGGGAGCAGCAGGGCCTGATGTCCCTGGAGGGAGTGGTCGTTGAGGTCAGTATAGGCTTTTATGTTACAGCCGTGGATCTGGGAATCTGGGAAATAAAAAACCACAAATAACAAGAAAAAAATTACATTCTCAAATATATAAATTACTAAATACAGTTTCTCCTCTTGTTTAGCTCTCTGCTGTGAAAAGGGTGGAGTCAGCGAGAGAGGCTGTGCCTCTTAGAAAGCTGGTTCTGCAGCAGGTAACTGCATCTGCGGAAAATTGATGGTACTAGGCCTGTCACGATAACAAATTTTGCTGGACGATAATTGTGCTACAAATTATTGCCGATAAACGATATTATTGACACCGTTTTTTAAATTATAGATAATGATATTAAATGGCATAATAATGCGAGTACACCGTGTCAAAAGTGATAAACTTTAATTTCACCCACGACGAAGACGTGAGATGACTAAAATGTGATGAGACGAAAGTGCGTTTACGTTGATGGGACGAGACGAAAATGACAAACAGAGTTGCAAAACTCAGTCAGTTAAACGCTCAACATATAGGAGCAGCTTCAGTCCGCTCTGACAGCTCTCATCAGCCTGCTGTGCTCCTCCAACACACAGACACAGACGCGCGCGCACACACGTGGAGTTTTGTGGTTGACGAAAACAAAACTGGTTTAAAGCCGAAATATACCCACACTTGGGCTGTTGCGTTCGGTTTAGACACCAAAGCTGTCGTGTTCATTCTGTTTGCTTGCTTTTCACTCACGACGCTCACTTGCAGCACTGTATCCAAAAGTCTGTGTCTGTGTGCCTGTGGGCGCCTACGTATACCTGTGCGCGCGCCCCCCCGTGACAAAGATACTGAATGACTGACAGGAGGGTTCACTAACGCCGTTCATTCCTCTATAGAGCCAACGCGCGCAGAGTGAGACCTCTTCTCTCATCCAGCGTGTTTGGTAGCGAAAGAGGAGGAAAACAAACGCACGTCAATTATCGAGGCTGGCAAAATGACCGACCTCGTTTTTATTTACTGAGCGATAAGGCGATTTATTGATTATTGTGACAGGCCTAGATGGTACCCTTCTGTTTAAGAAGGAAAAAGCCATATAAGTCACTGAAAGACCTGAAAATGACAAAAGTAATAGTAAATAAAAAAATGTCTGTATGAATGTACCCTGGCAAATATTTAATTATATCCTTTCATGGGACAGCACTAAAGAAATGACACTTTGCTACCATGTACAGTAGTCAGTGTACAGCTTTTGTAACGGTGTAAATTTACTGTCCCCTCAAAATAACTGAACACACAGCCACTAATGTGTACACCCCTGGCACCAAAAGTGAGTAACTAAGTGAAAATGTCCACTGATGTGACTTAATCAGCTTGATATCAAATTTCCCCTAGGGGTTCAATCAAGTTCTTTTTATCTTATCTTACTTTTCTCATACATTATTGCTTAGTTTAGCACCATGCATCTGCTCAGCCCCTCTGATTTAAATGAGACGAGAGCCTGTGGTATTTTTTAGTGTCACATGTATTGTGACTCCAGACAATAAGGTGGTCCCTTACCTTTCACAGGAAAAATCCTTTGTAAAAGTCTCCTTGTGGAGGGAGGCAGCCCTGGAGCCCCTCGCGGTGGGAGAGACCATATCCATATCCCATCTGAAAACACAAAGGAGTGATTATGGGCTTGTGGTTAACTCCACCGGCTTCACGAAAATTGAGGTAATTTTTTGTTGTTGTTGTAAGGTGAACACACTTTTTGAAAAATGTAACTCCCATTTTTTCTCCTACAGCTGGTAATTTACAGAATCACAATAAAGTAACAAAGTTTAATATCAATGAAATTAATCATCAATTGGTATGAAGATTTACACACATGGACAAAATTGTTCGCAACCTTATGTTAAAGAAAGAAAAACCCACATACAGCACAAAACCGCATTTGCCCCTTTCTAATTTCTTTTACTTTTGCATATTTAAGTCAAAGACAGCTAGAGTAAATACAAAATGCAGTTCACAAATGAGTTTATTTATTGGGAAAAGAAAGTTATCCATACCTACCTGACCCTATGTGAAAAAGTAATTGTGCCCCCTCTTGTCAAATGACATATGAACTGTGACCCCCCCCCCCCCCTTTTTTTTTTTTTCTTAAAATAGTGGAGTTAAATTTCATTATTAATACCCAGACCTGATTAGTCACAGAGAGTCCCTGTGATGACGCTCGGCTCAAACAACGTATACCCTGGGGGAGCTACGCAGTCCCTGAACGCCCATAGGCTGTATCAGGTGTCAATCATAGAAAACATGAACCCCCTAATAACTTTTAAAAACGGAGCTTCACAGAAAAAAGAGGACTTGAGCACAAACCAGTCCTACTGTAACTACATGTCAACATCACAAGCAGGGGGGAAAAAATTATGTTCTGTGTAATAAATTTCAAAAGTTTGTCCACAGCTCCATAAGCTTTGCTGGCAGAAGTGGGATTTATGACCTATACTGCAGCCCATCAACAGAGGGTGCTGTTCTCGGAGTGGCTTCACCCAGCAAGGAGGCAGACTCTGTCCATTCTATATACAGTCTATGCTTCAAACCTGACACCACTGAAACAGTTTGCTCCCCAGGAGTGGGCCAAAACACCTGTGGACAGGTGCACAGGTCTCTCTGAGAGAAACAGAAATCACTTGATGGCAGTGATCGCCTCTAAAGGTTGTGCAACATTGTATACAGTTAAAGGTTCCATCAATTTTGTCCATGCCAGTTTTGATAAAAAAAAATTCTTGATTTTTAAGTGTGTTTAAATGTGTCAGTTTCATACATTTACATTTTAAAAAGTACTTCTGTTAAACCAAAATTCAAATCCAATGTCACAATTTCATTAGTTAATTTTCTGTTTAAAGGGGACCTGCCATAAAAATGTAATTTTTTTTTTTTTGTGTGTCAGATAAGGTCCATATTATGTTCGTATTATGTTTCAAATGTGAAAACAAACCATTACGTCGTTTGCATTCTGTAAAGGTTTACAATAAAGGAAAGAGTAAACCAGGCCGATTGAAAACGCAGGTCGGTGTTACGTTGCGCCGACCTTGCTCATTATTATTCACGAGCGCGTCCTCGGTGAGCCGTGCCCACTCTCTCGTTCCCGTACTCAGTCACAGCCAGAGCGAGACCCAGCTACCGCTGTATCCGCTATGGGTCTCTTCCAAACGACTGGTGTTTCCTTTGGTTCACTGCCGGGAAAATGAACTTAAAGCTGGGCAGAATGAATGAGAAAACACCGCTTGAGATCTCCGGCTTCTTCCTCAACTTCCACCTCCTCTTCGGACTCGGGGTCTAAAATATATGGTTTAATACCTGCCGTTTTTAGCCTTTAGCATAAGGTGACCAGACGTCCCCGATTTCCGGGGACAGTCCCCGTTTTGGATGACCTGTCCCCGGCAAAAGCTGTCCCCGAAAATGTCCCTGATTTAAGCGTTTCATGAATGAGAGCAAAAATGTTGCGTGTGGGCTCAAACAACGGTTATTACAGTAGCCGAATAGGTAGGAAGCACAAGTTAGCAGTCCTGAACAACAGTTCTTACGGGGTTATTACAAGCGGCATGCGCTGCTACTAAATAGTACCGAGACTTTGTCTGTGATCACGCAGCCCCTGCACCGCCGCCGCCGCCGCATCGAATATCCCCGGATATCATTACAGACATTCGGGCACCTTACTTTAGCACACATTAGCATATGCTATTAGCATTGACATAATAACAATGGATAAACCGAAATCCGAACCTCCACTGCTGAGCCAATCAGAGCACAGCAGGCTTCACAGCAGCGATCCAATCAGATCAAAGCTCATTACCATAAATGTTAAAGGGGACCTGCCACCAAAATTTCATACCCATTTTTATCATTTTTTCATCATCCTTGATGTCCTCTGATCATGTTTGCAACATAATTTTAGCTGAAAAGTTAGTTGATGGTTTGTTTTAGTATGCCTAAAAAACCTTACAGGAAAAACCAACTGGTTTTGGCTCATTAACATTTATGGTAATGACCTTTGCTCTTCCAAATAATCTAATTCCTTACCTGTGTTTGCTTAATTTGTCTACAGACGCAGCAGACGAGCCAGCACCTCGAGATCGTTGGTGTCCTCAAGGAGGAAGGGGCCACATCCAGCAGCGGCCCCCATGAGGAATCCTACGAGGTGCTTTTAGAGAGTGGGGAGACTCTCCAAATTGCGAAGGCCTTGTGGGACCCATCATTCGATGAGGCCATACAGGAGGGCGCCCTGAAAGTTACAGCCACTGTGAAGGGCAAAAACATATCAAAAATGTCAATTTTGTAAATACTTTGTTAATAGTTCAATGTTATGTGTTTCGACGTTTCAAATAGTTTTTCATGCATTTCACACACGCGCACATACACACACACACACACACCCACACACACAGTTGAATTTGTTTTGTTTTAAAAATGAATGTTATACAATAAATTGGTTTGCTACTGACATGTTTGTATTTGACAACATTTTTTCATTTCTGCATGGTGTTACATTATAACTAGCTTTAAAAAAATACTGCATTTCGTTTTATAACGGGTGGTTTGTTCAGCCTCACGATGCTGCTTGGAGGCTATAATTAGTTTGTAAACGATGTCGGAAAAACTACCTAATCATATCTTTTTTAACAAAATTTAGAAATTTGAACTGAAGCCCTATACGATTGCTATTAACAGCTGCATTAATGGATCTAGCCTCTGTACGGCCATTTCCAGCTATTTCCCTCAAAGCCCATCTTTTTTTCTCGCTGAAAAGATGCATTTCTCATATATTATTTCTTAAAGTTATGATAGACAATTATACAATCGTATAATTTTCACAGAATTTAGAGCAAAATAACTCTACCTTACCTTGTCGCGAGGAACACATGGAAATATGTACAAACATTTGATAATGTATGACAGGGCTCTCAAGTCACACGCATTCGGCGAGCGCCACACGCATTTTCACACCCCACACGTTGTATTTCTCACGCATTAATATTACCACGGTGGCTGCAACCTTTCAACAATGGAACAGATGTAACTCAAGTCCGTTCCCTTGAGACAAAAGAGGCTGCGCGCCACCCGCAAGTCAATCAAATACAGTATAGCTACCGAACAGCCAATCAAAAGGTAGCATTGCTGTATCCGGGTAGATTTTGGAGACGGACACCGGCTGTGATGAAGCAGGTTTCGTAAGCACGAAAAATAGCCAATCATTACAGTAAGTCAGTGACCTACACCTGCAGAGGCCTCAACACCTCATGGCAAATAGACTCACATGATAAACTTAAGCCCTATACGATTTCTAATAACAGCTTCATTAATGGATCTAGCCTCTGTACGGCCATTTCCAGCTATTTCCCTCAAAGCCCATCTTTTTTTTCCGCGGAAAAGATGCATTTCTCATATATTCTTTTTACAGTTATGATACTCATGACCATGTTATTCTGATGATCCAAAGGATATCCCCCCCCCCCCCAATAAAAATACAAGAAAATTTGACTCAAAGCTTAGTTCAAAACTTGAGAGCCCTGGTATGATCAGACATGTAGCATTTAACTCATGCACACGCGGTCCTCTTACCTGCGCAGACGATGAAATGACCTGCACGGACTGCATGCGCAAAGGTCTCCTTCTCCTTCTTCACTGTTTATTTTCGTGGTTGGCAAACAACAAATCGACACGGATGTGGAGTGAAGACCTCGACGCTTACTCAATCTTATCAAGTAAATAAATACAAAAAAAATTGTTAGTGGCGGGTTTTACACGTTTGTGTCGGGAATTACACGTGTTTTGTGTATTTTTTGGTGGGGCCATGCAGGAAAATCTCATTATGCAATCCGGAAATAACAGATATTTCTCTCATACCCTCACAACAAAAATACAGCAGCAAGTGAGAGAGAGGACCACAGCACATTTGACGGCAAAACTACAGCTGAATGATGTCTTCACACAAACAATGTCAATCTGGCGACATATAGTATCATACCAATAGCGCCACCAAATGTCAGTGTTTAAGAGCTCACAATATCAAATGGTCAAGATCGACACAGCGTGACAATAATAAAAACACAAAGACGTCAACGGCGCACAACCAACGCACAGGAATCAAAGCCACCACACACAATATACCACAGCCAAAAAGCCATTTCAGCACCAAAGACAGGTGAACAGCTCCCATCGAGAGCCCACGTGACGTTGTGTCCACCACACACACACACACACACACACACACGTATCGCCAGTTACGCATTACTTTAATTCCACTTTTATTCAAACAATATACAAACCATATTATAAGTTCCACCTAGATCAATGGAGTTGCTGATGTGAATCACTTTTTGAAGAGGAATGACGCTCTGCGGTCCTTCATGTGCTTAAACTTTTCTGTTCTTTTCTGTTGCGCCGTTGACACAAAGGCGTCAACGGCGCACAACCAACGCACAGGAATCAAAGCCACCACACACAATATACCACAGCCAAAAAGCCATTTCAGCACCAAAGACAGGTGAACAGCTCCCATCGAGAGCCCACGTGACGTTGTGTCCACCACACACACACACACACACACACACCCACACACGTATCGCCAGTTACGCATTACTTTAATTCCACTTTTATTCAAACAATATACAAACCATATTATAAGTTCCACCTAGATCAATAGAGTCGCTGATGTGAATCACTTTTTGAAGAGGAATGGCGCTCTGCGGTCCTTCATGTGCTTAAACTTTTCTGTTCTTTTCTGTTGCGCCGTTGACACAAAGGCGTCAACGGCGCACAACCAACGCACAGGAATCAAAGCCACCACACACAATATACCACAGCCGAAAAGCCATTTCAGCACCAAAGACAGGTGAACAGCTCCCTTCGAGAGCCCACGTGACGTTGTGTCCACCACACACACACACACACACACACACACACACACACACACACACACACACACACACACACACACGTATCGCCAGTTACGCATTACTTTAATTCCACTTTTATTCAAACAATATACAAACCATATTATAAGTTCCACCTAGATCAATAGAGTCGCTAATGTGAATCACTTTTTGAAGAGGAATGACGCTCTGCGGTCCTTCATGTGCTTAAACTTTTCTGTTCTTTTCTGTTGCGCCGTTGACACAAAGGCGTCAACGGCGCACAACCAACGCACAGGAATCAAAGCCACCACACACAATATACCACAGCCGAAAAGCCATTTCAGCACCAAAGACCTCCTCATCAGCCAAACTCCACTCACCTGTGCTCTCCACCACACCTGCAGCTCGTCCCTGACCATCAGCCCAAGTATTTAAGCTCCAGCTCCACACACAGAGGCGGGGCAAGGGTCCTTTGGGGTTCCAAGCAAGAAATTTGTGGGGCCCCCACCCCATCCCTGCACACTGAAAAAAAATCGTTTTTGATATGTATACTGAAGGCAGAAGGGGCGTGGGGGCCCCCAAGGGGGTTTGCTACGTCGCTTTCTCATAGTAAATGCCTGTTGTTGTCGTTGCCATGCAGTACATTTATTAGCACTTGGGGCACCCGGTCACTCGGGAGGATGCCCAAGTGGGGGGCCCCCTGGAAGCCTGGGCCCCAGGCAATTGCTTGGTTTGCAAGCCCCGCCTCTGTCCACACACACACCAGTTGTCTGATTGTGTTCGCATTATGCAAGCCCTTCTGGCACTCTTTTCCGGACTGATCTCCCGTTGTCGACCTGGTCTGTTCCCGTTCCTGCCTGCTCGCCATGCCCTTGGATTGATCGTAAGGCTCGAGCCGTTTGTGCTCTGACCCTGACTGTTGGTCTGATCCGTGACAATCTAGCTCACCTTCCGTCCCTGACAGCGAGCTGGCTGTCTGTGAGTCTCGTGGTTTCCTAAACTGTTGTCTGCCCCTGACTCTTCGATTGTGTGTTCCCTGGCTGTTGTTCACGTGTCGAAAAGGACACATCATCTGTGTGTGTTGTGGAGGTATGGTCCCCGGCATACATACGGGCATCGAAGTTTTCAGCCCAGGAGACTTTAGCGAGTTTAAAATTGCGGCCGGTGCGCCGTTACTAAGGAGTGGCTATGTGGCTGACCGCTAAAGCTGCCGACGCTCCTGCAGCGATCGCGTGTTCGAGGCCCGGTGTAGGCAGTGAAAGCTGTCTTTTCTTGTCCTCAGTAGAGACAGCTTCTTTGTATCTGGCTCCTTAACCGTGGGCTTTTGACACTTAAAGTCATAGGTGTTGCTGTCTGTTTCACAAAACTCTTTTCTTCATCTTTATTTTATCACACTTTATATTAATACAGACAATTATCTCTCTCACTGCCATGACACTTGTGTACCAGCAGCTGTTGGAGAAAAGTACACTCCAGTCTCCATCACAATTACGCACTCTGTGTGTCATCCTCCCACTCTCTGTGTGACACCCTGCAACCCAAACACCAAGAAAAACACAATGCAGAGCTACACAGGCTTTGTGGAGACTTTAACTTGGATCTTCACATCTACCTCCACTACTCTTGCTTCTTTAAATATATTTTTACTGCGTCTCTAACTTTTACTGGATCTATTACTTCTACCACGAGATTAACTACTTTGACTTCTACTTCCTCTATTCTAAAACTACTTCTACTGCTTACATGACTACTAATATCACTACTACAACTACCTATGATCATACTACTTCTAGTACTCCAACTTAAACTTATGCCAATTCTCACTTACCTGCCTTTTAAGGTAATTTACTTCTTCAGTCAAACTTTGTGCAGTTGTAGAAATTTTTCCAGCCTCTTTCAGCATGAATAAAATTTCAATTTGAGGAGCATATTCATACTATTTGTCCTTCAACCATTAAACCATTATCCAACTTATCCAACTTTCTTTTTCACCCTTTCAACAGCTTTAACATTTATACCTTTCTCCATGTTTTATTAGCAGTTTAGCATTGCTTTTTCAGCTTTCAGCACTCAGCATTTCCACGCATTTTCTGCAAGGAAATGCAATTTTTCTAGTTATTATTATTATTCTTCCGTCCCTTTTTTGGACCGCTTCTCCTCCTTCAAACTTTGTCCGATTTCAACCATTCAAACTTTAAACTATTCCACTCCTTCAGGACATTATTGCGTGTATTTTTCTTTTTTCTACCCTTTATACTTTTTGATTTTTTCAACATTTTGTGCAAAAATTTTAACATTGAAGTCAATGGGGAAATCTTCAACTTCTTCCTTTCATTCTTCCACCTTCTAGACCTTATAACTTCAGCATACTTTCACCTAGAGACCTCATTTTTGCTTTAAAATGTTTATTCACTTGTCGACTATTACAGTTGTACTCAGTTTTTTGATATCTTTTACAGTTTTTCCACAATTTAGCTTTAAGCAACTTGTGGTTTTCAGCAAATTTCAAGCTTTATAATGGGTGTGTATTGGAGAGTTTAGAGTGATGATGTCATCAGCTAGAGTGCAGACCTCGTCTCTGATCGACAGAACCTCGCTCGAATATATCGCTCCCACGCCCACAAATCTCACTCCACTGACACAAATAATACATCAAAATGGAGGTAGATGTGTCCTGCTTCTCACAAAAGAGGTTTCAAATCATTAAATCGTACCCCTTGGCCAGCAGGTGACCAACTGTCCAAAAAAGGCGGAAATCTCTCCCATTGACCGTAATGTTATTTTTCTCCAAGAAAATCCGGATCATCGCTCAGGCTCAGACTTTTTTAACTCGCTGTTGTGGCCTCATTTTTCGAAGTACAGACATGAAAAACACATCATTGTGTTCATGAAGGACGGAGGATTCGTACGATGTTCTTATTTTCATTCTGGGACTTAAGGAAATCACGCTATGTGAAGAAGTTCACAGGCTGAAATTCACTGCAGTTCAGCACCTCTCAGTCAAACAGTAGGTTAGTGATTTGCCTTTGATCTCACAGCTGTTTAGGATGCAGTCATTAACGAGACACACACACACACACACACGCACACACACATTCTTGTACTTGTTGCTTTTTGAGGTCCACCTTGCAGTTCAGCTGCTTGTACACACAGTTAATATGTGTCTGCTTCACCACCTATCTCCACCCACAAACTTTGAGCTACAGAAACCATTCTGGGCTTCAAAAATTCAGCTCATTGAAGATATTATGGGGTGTTTTGAGGATTGTGATAATAAATTGTATTAATGTGTTCAGCAGAGTCTTGTGTTCTCACAAGCTCCTTATGAATATATACAGAGGGTGAGCGTCAGGGCCTACTTGGAGTCCTGTTTCTTTAGCTTCAAGCCTTCTTTCTCCTGCTATAGTTATGCATCCAAGGTCCCCATGGCAACCAATTTGTGCACCTGGAGACACACAGCTGACTGGAAAGCTGCTTCTAGTGGCCATATGAGACACATGAAGCCAGGCTCAGTACACATAGCAATTGGGATGACACTGAAAACCCTTTCCTAGAGCGTTGGAAAAAACTTCAGCCCCTATCTCCTCACATGACCTTTGACCTACAGAAACCATTCAGGGCTTTAAAATGAAAGCTCATTGAGGACATTATGGGGTGTATTTAGGATTTATATTCATTTAGATTTTTCACATTTTAAAGTCACTCAGTGATGATTTATCATTTAATTTTTCAAACTAATTTGAACTGATTCAAACTGATTCAAACCTTTCTTATACTTAAAAACTTAAACTTATGCCACTTCTCACCTTCCTGCCTTTTAAGGCAATTTCCTTCTTCATTCAAACTTTGTGCAATTTTAGAAATTTTCCTAGCCTCTTTCAGCATGAATAGAATTTTCTTTTATAGAGCATATTCATACTATTTGTCCTTCAACCAATTAATTAATTATCCAACTTACATTTCTTTCTCACCCCTTCAACAGCTTTAACATTGATACCTTTCTCAATGTTTTATTAGCAGTTTAGCATTGCTTTTTCAGCTTTCAGCACTCAGCATTTCCACGCATTTTCTGCAAGGAAATGCAATTTTTCTAGTTAAGTGGAAATGCTGATAGGCATTTCCACTTATTGTTATTCTCCTGTTTCTTTATTATTATTATTATTATTATTAAACTTATTATTCTTCCGCCGTTTTTCGTCCGCTTTCAACTCCTTCCCAGTTTGTGCGATTTCAACCGTTCAAACTTTAAACTATTCCACTCCTTCAGGACATGTTTGCTTGTACTTTTTACCTTTCTACCTTTTATACTTTTTGTTTTTTTTAACTTTTTGTGCAAAAATTTTAACATTGAAGTCAATGGGGAAATCTTCCACTCCTTCCTTTTATTCTTTCACCTTCTAGACCTTATAACTTCAGCATACTTTCACCTAGAGACCTCATTTTTGCTTTAAAATGTTCATTCACTTGTCGACTATTATAGTTGTACTCAGTTTTTTGATATCTCTTACAGTTTTTCCACAATTTAGCTTTAAGCAACTTGTGGTTTTCAGCAAATTTCAAGCTTTATAATGGGTGTGTATTGGAGAGTTTAGAGTGATGATGTCATCAGCTAGAGTGCAGACCCCGTCTCTGATCGACAGAACCTCGCTCGAATATATCGCTCCCACGCCCACAAATCTCACTCGACAGCCATAAATAATACATCAAAATGGAGGTATATGTGTCCTGCTTCTCACAAAAGAGGTTTCAAATCATTAAATCGTACCCCTTGGCCAGCAGGTGACCAACTGTCCAAATAGGCGGAAATCTCTCCCCATTGGCCCTAATGTATTTTTTCTCCAAGAAAATCCTTATCGCCACTCAGGCTCAGACTTTTTTAACTCGCTGTTGTGGCCACATTTTTCGGAGTACAGACATGAAAAACACATCATTGTGTTCATGAAGGGCGGAGGATTCGTACAATGTTCTTATTTTCATTCTGGGACTTCAGGAAATCACGCTATGTGAAGAAGTTTAGAGCCTCTAAATCCTCTGCAGTTCAGCTGCTTCTCATTAAAACAGTAGGCCAGTTAATGCGTTTGATCCACAGCTGTTTAGGATTTAATCATTAACGAGACACACACACAGTCTGACAATGTGTGTGCATCAGCTTCTTTCTCTCTATGAGACCTTCATGTACACACAGTAAATATGTGCATTCGTGAGTCTCTCTCTGTCTATGAGACCTGAACACACTTTGACCATGTGTCTGCTTCATCACCTATCT